CTGATTGACTGATTTCATCTCTGAGAGGATGTTTGGTTCCGTCCCACCGTCACAGAGAGCCTGGTCGAAGGTAATCCAATGGGCGCTTTGTTGTGTTTAAACTCGTCTCTACTTTACTCAGAGATGACACATACATGCTGAACTGGCGCCACAACAAACAGAAGGTGAATTAAAGCTTTGCAGGAAATGAAACCCTCCTCATGTCCCGTCACTCTGGCTGTCCAGTCGGATTTACAGCGAGGGCAGAAGTTAAGCGTGGGTTTGCCATTAAACGTCCTGGTTATTTTATCGTTCCATCAAACCCTCATTAAGGAGACTTCAGCACTTTCCTGACAACACAAACAGCGGCAGCCAGAACTCTCTGCACTGTGGAGGCCTTTATCAACAGGAAACAACGGGCGGAGCAGAGTGCTGACTAATGCACGGAGCTCCAGAAGCAGCAGCTGACCCAGTGTGGTGACTGGGCCTTTATTCTTCCTGTACTGGGAACAATGGGGCCGTGGATCCACCGATCAGAGGCTCCCAGCGTCGGCCGCCGTTTGGCTACACGGACTATTTGTTTTCAGGAGGCTGAACTTTGCTTCGAGGTGTGACCCGGCTGGTGATTGTTTCCTGCCATTGAGGACGTACGGCGACGACGGAAGCGTTTAGAGCCTTCAGAGCCGCTTCCAGTTAATCTGACGGCATCGTCTGAACACAGACCTGCACCAACAAGCTGGAGCCATTAGTGGACGGACTGGCTCACATTCAGCACCAACGCTGGTCCAGAAACACCCAACAGAACCAGTCCGAACAACCTTTTCTTTCTTTTACATCTTTACAAACTGAAACGTCCACGAAAATCAAACTGTGCTGCGTTGAACTGGATCAGCTGATAAATGAAACATTCATATATTTAAAACCAGATTTCCTCCGTTATATCTGGAGAAGAACGTTTTAAACTGCAGAACTTTATTCTACCTGCGTCAGACTGTCCAACAGTGGTACAGTTCTTGTGACAGAACTTGTCCAACCTGCTCAGTCGGTTATTAAAGTTCAGTGAACGTGACGTTATGTTCATGTCTGTGACCCAGTATTTCATATTACAGCATTCTACATGTTTAGTTTGTGTTGTTGTGACCTTTAGTTACGTGTGGGTCAGAAAACATCACTAGTTCACTTCTGCTTCATCATTTTGTTTGTTAAGGAGCTCAAAGACGGAACTTTTCATGAGAACTTAAATGTTTTTTTTTTCACATCTCAACAGTGAAAGTCTCAGTTTTCATCTTTAATAGATGTCGTTGTTCAAACAGACTCGACAGGTGATTTTTAAAAACGCTACCTGTGAAAAGATTTAATATAAAAAGCTGAAATTGTAGAGATAAAAGTCTAAATATCCACAGATTATGTTTTTAAAAAAGCAAATTAGAAGTGGTTGAGCAGAAATAGTTTAACAACGTCAGCGTTTATCTGTTTGAAGGTTTCTGTTGAGGTTAAAGTGAGCATCAAACTCATTCAGACATGAGGAGGAACTTTAAAGTTACAGGCATGAAGGTACAAAAGGAATTTAGAAGAAACACGACAGCCTCAGTCCTTCATCTAAAGCTGAAGTGTGTGAACCTTGAATATGAACCTCGTCTACCTTCAGCTGAACTGTTCCACTCAGAACACGTGAGCCGCCGTAACTGAAGCCATCAGACGTTTGAAACAGTGCAGCTCCAGTAAATTACAAGGCAGCGGCCAGTCGCAGGGAGTTGCTCTGCTCCTCCAGAAAACAATTAAAGTGTGAGAGGAGAGCCGGGATGTGACCGGGCCTGCCAGCAGCTCGTCCTCCTGTTGAAGCAGCTGCAGCAGCCTGGACTTCCTGCTCCCCCCCCCTGCTGCTTTAATGAACAAGCAAACAGGCCACGCTACTGTGACCGAGGCTTCCCCGCCACCTCAACAGGCCCAATTAGAGGAGGAGAACCTCGACAGGACGCTGGATGAGACCGTCTGAAAGTGAAAGAATGTGAGCCCCAATCAGAGGAGGTGTAATTAGAGGAGGTTTTGTCACCTTGCAAACTGCAGCCTGCAGGATGGCGTCGAAGCCGCCCTCCGGAGCGTCTCGGTTGCGAGAAACCATCTGCTTCTGCACCTCCTCGTTAAAGCGGTCCACTTTGTCCGTCAGGGAGAGGATGTGACGGAAGCCGAAGGTGGGGACGCAGTTGGGAAACAGCTTGTATCTGCACAAGGTCAGAGTTTCACATGTTTTTATCCTCACAAGGTCGCGTCAGGACAACGTTCACAGCAGCAAGTACACTGAACATCTGAAGCTGTAAGTATGCACGCAAACAAGTCATGTGTCCAAAGATGATCTGATTAGTACGAGATTAAACCTCCAAGTGCTA